GCTTGGAGATTGTTTCTGAATAGGTTGCCAATTTTTTTTGTTGGAAATGTGAGTTTTTTTGCTTGGAGATTGTTTCTGAATAGGTTACCAATTTGAGTTTTTTTCGTTTTTTGTGGGAAAGGAGTAGAAGATGCTTATCATGTTTTTGTGCAGATTATTAAGTTCCACGAAGAACTCAGAACCTGGGTTTCGCGAGGAACCTAGGGGGATGAGGATGAGGATAGTGAAAATGATGCCGGGAAAGAAGAAAATGAAGAAATTAAAATTAATGATGATTTAATTATAACACATATAAAAAAAAAGTTCAACATTGGATTAATAAATGTGACATAAAGTTCTAGGTTCCTGGTTCCATGAGAAACCCAGGAGGATGAAGAGGAAGATGGTAAAGATGATGCGGAAAAGAAGAAAATGAAAAAATTAAAATTAATTATGGTTTAATTATGCCATATCATCAAAAAAAAAGTCCACATTGGATTATGTTACTGTTTAATGCTACGTATTACAATTTTTAACGGTTATTAACAGTGCCGTGACGGCCCGTTAAAATATTGGATTTTTCACGGGTTTTGAAAAGTGGAGGGTGTGAATAGGGAGGAAAAATTCTGGAAGATGTTGACCACGGAAAACAAATAAATGGAGGGTGCAAATAGGGGTTTTGGCCTTTCATTAATTGTTTCTATTTTTAGAATATTATTAGTTATTCATTAGTTAGTAGTAGTCTGAATTAAGTTCTGAAAACCCGAATAAAAATCTGGTATCAGAGCCTAAAAATAATAATTTTAAGTATAAAACTATTTTTACAGCAAATATAAATTTGAGGACTAAAAGATCAAAACAAATATAGTTAGAGGACTAATTATTTTCTAACATAATAGTAAGTTTTCTGTCAAAGATAACCAGGTAGACGAAATTGAAATGAATCCGAAAGTTAATAGATCATTTAGAAATAAAACATAGTTTCTAGACTAAAATGAAATCAAGGTGATAGTTAATATACTAAAAATTGAATTAACCCTGTCTTTGAGTGGAAAACAGCTTGGGCAGTCGCTGGTATGTTGAATGATTTTTGGAGCCTAAACTAGCCATCTGTTGTAAGATGAATTTTGGAGCCTTGTTGCACTAGATTTCCACCATTGGCGGACCAAATAATGGTTTTTTCAGTTATTTTGTCAAACCATATAGCTAGCAAGAACATTCCAGCTTCTATCTGTTGGAATCCAAATGCAAAATCTCCAGATGGAGATTTTCAGTTTCAGGAATCATTTTCATCAAGTGCTACAGTTAATGAGGAGCCCAATATTATATTCTGAGATGTTTGAGTTAAAACACAAACTGGCAGCAGGAAAAGTAGAATGAAACATAGAGAATATGGAGAAGCGAAAGCCATGGTTTAACAGGGATTTGAGAAGGGTTAAAGGTAACTATAGTCCCTCTACTTTCAATTTTCAATCATTGTCTTCCCTATACTTACAAATCATTCAAAGTTCTCCTCTACTCTTCCAAGCCATACTATTGTCCTCCCTCTACTTTAACTATCCATTATCTTTACCTCTCTCTCCTAAGTCCTAACAACACCTTAACACCGTTTATAAATCCCATTTGACAGACTGTTAGGTGCAATAGTTTTTTTTTTTTTTTTGTTAAATTGTGTTTATAAAATCCATAAAAATTCATATAAAGGGCATTTGTTGGAGATATTGAAAATCTATAAAAACCATCATATATACTCAATTTTCAAGGGTATTTGTTGTATTTTCATGAAATAATCACAACATACATAAAGAAAGATGATTTTTTTAGTTGATCTTTATGAATCAATTATCTAAACTAGAACTCGGTATCTTGTTTTTTTTTTTTTTTTTTCATCTTCTAACCTTTAAAATGAACATGTAAGTAGCTAGCTAAGCAAACTTTCTCTTGAAATTATTTTATGTTATTAATCTATATACTTGCATCATGTAATTAATCTACATACGCTCTTTTTTTTTTTTTTAAGACAAAGCAAAAAAAAAAAAATGATATCAACAACAATATTAGAACTAAAGAGTTAAAAAAAAAGAAGAAGCAAAAATAAAAATTTCAATGATACCTTTTCATAAAGAAAGAACGATAACATCAACATTCAATATCAATGTTCAAATTTAAAAACTCAAATTATGTGAATTGATAAATATATTTTGTATTCAAAAAGCGAGCTTTTAACTCACATGTTCTTGAAGCAAGAAACACCCAATAAAGAACTTCATTCAATATATTAGATAAGGCATTAACAAATATGATATTAGTGCATGTCTTTTCTTTTCTTTTTTCTTTTTTTTTTTTCTAGTATTTACAATTAGGGTGTTCTTAAATTAGTTTTTGCACATCTCGAGACTAATTCCTCCCAAAAAATTTTAAAAACGTACCCCTCATATTAGCTTGGTGTGTATGCAAGGAAATTAATTTCTTTATGTGTTAGCCTCAAAACTTGAATCATGGATCTAACCTATGAGCCAATACTTATTTATTATTAAATCTAACACTTGGAATTAAGATTAATGTTTAGCAATTGGATCTCAAAAAAATAGGGGAAAATTATATTATTTCATTAAAGCACTATAGGAAAAAATCAAAACAAACTAAATCTTGGTTTAAAAATAGGTTATATTAGTCTTTTTTAATAAAAGTTTTAAAAAATAGCATAGTTTCATAATTTTTTTTTCTTAATTTTTTAGAGATCTAACTGACAAACACACATACACATATGTATATTATAACTATTTAGTAACAAAGTCATAAACCTTGAATTTATGACAACATAACCAAATTATACTTTCTTTAAACAAATCATGCAAACCCATAAAAACATATAAAATGGTAAACAAATCTCTATATAATCAATTAAGTAATGGTATTAATCTTAATTAATTGAATAAATTAGATTGTTATTACACCTAACAACTTGACAAATTTGGGGTTGCTAACATGGTTTTTTATAGGGGCCATGTATAAACACAATTCAACTAAAAAAAAAATATTGTAGTTAACAGTATGTTAAATAGGAGTTATAACGGTGTTAGGGTGGTGTTAGAGGAGTGCTAGAGGAGTGTTAGAGGAAGGAGGTAAATGTAATGGAAAGTTAAAGTAGAGGAAGGACAACGGTCTGGTTTGGAGTAAACGGAGGATTATGAACGATATGTAAGTATAAGGAGGACATTGAACGAGAATTGAAAGTAGAGGGACTATAATTGACTTTAACCCTTTTGAGAACTAGACTTTGAAGTTTGTGCAAAAAGCACAGCTGTAGCAGCAGGCAAAGATGGTCTCTAGTTTGTTCTATGCCTGTATAACAATTTGTGACTTTTCCTAGCTTTAGCTTTCGGAAATGAGGACTTTGTGGAAAAAATTCAGGCGTTTCAAAGCATTTTTCAGCATGAAAATTTCAGTTTAGGGGGTCTGAGCTAGGACTTTGAATTATATTTTGGCCCCAAATTACTGCTGATTCCAAGCTAGGACGTGGATCTTTTTCAACGATGATAGTCGTAACCGCAGGGTTCACTGGCGGAGATAAAGGAAGGCCTGAGGGGGCACAGGCCCCGCTAGATTTTTAAGAAATAAAACTTTGGTCCTTTAAGTTATATTTTTCTTATTTCAATCCTTGTTTATTTCATACATTTTAATTATTTTTTAACCTTTTTTTTCAAAGATTAGTTTTGGTGATTATGATAAAAATGAGGAAAATAAAGATAAAATATAATATAATAAAAAATAAAGATTAATTGAATACAAAATTATTCAATATCATCCTTTTATAAAATAGTTATTTATTAATATTTTTTTCATTAATACCCTTCTACTTTTTTTTTATTAGTGTTATTCTATTTAATATATGTTTATTTTATATTTCAATTTGATGTCATATATACTATTACCATCAATTAATATTAGTTTATTATTAAAAGACTAACAAATCTTAATTTAAAATAATTTTTTATTAAAATTTTCTTTTTATTAACTTTTTAATCAATGCAAAGATGCATTTTTTTTTTCCCAAAACTTCATTTGCCCCCCTAAAAAATGTTTCTAGCTACACCACTGGCAGGGATTGTATGGAAAAATCAGTTGTTTAAGCCCTGGATTCCATAAATGGTGGAATTTGGAGATTTTAAGGGTTGATTGTACGATATGTTGTAATATGGCCATTAATAATACAGAATGAAAATACAGTGATTTGAACGGCAAGCCCGTCTCGCAAGGCAAATTATTAATCTTAGAAGACTTAGAAAGAACCATACCTTAAACAAGTAAACCAATAAAGCGGTGTAAATTCTTGCCTTGCGTGTTGATAACGATAATAACATCTTAAATTCTTAATTGTACTTTCTATATATTTTTTTTATCCTTGGATGTGGCTGTGGCTTCGGCTTCTTTCCCAAACAGGGGTGCGTCAGGGTATGAGGTATATTTAATAATTAATTTATAAATTTTTTAGATATAGTTTTTTAAATTTAATATTTATTTAAGGGAATAATGCTTATTCGTCTTACCTCTTAAAGATTAAGAGAATTATTATTATAAAACTACGTCATTTTAATAAATATTTATTGAAAAATATTAAAATATTATATTTTTAAA